AGTTCTTCTGATACTTAAAGTGACAAATTTTTGTTAACAATTTTCTCTATTTTTCTTTTGGCAGACCATGCACAAAACACAAACTCTTTTTCAAGGTGATTTTCTATTTCGTTATAAGTTTAGAAAGCTAAAACCTCTAAAATCAGAATTTGATGCAAAACCATTTGGAGAAATTCAGCAATGGTGTTGCACTCATGTTTTTCCCAAGAGTTAACAAAAGGGGTCAGATTCTTTGATGAAAATAGGTGAAGATGTTCCTATTTCATTCATTCTGACACTAACATGAAACCTGAATATATAATTCTATGACATTTTAGTTTGAGATGAAAACTAAAAAAATAGTATTAAACATCTTCTGAAAGTCACCATGTTTTATTAACATTACACTTATAGAAAGCTGACGAATATATTGACCAAAAAGATGAAGAGAACAACATGATAAATATATGGAATAATAAAAACATTTCATTTCAGAACTTGAGAAAAATTATTGATCTCATTTTGTTTAAAAAAATAATTTACACAATAAAACAAACATTCTTTGAATCCAAAACATGGTTCTATATAAATAAAAAAATTTTTTAAATTAATTTGAACATGAAAGCTATTTTATAGTTTTTAATTCTGCATATCTCCAAATGTTTTTAATAAACAATTCCTGTGACATGTTAGTCCAAATAAAGATAATTATTTGTTACTTGCTATTTATAAAACTTTTAACAAAACTCTTTATTAATAATGAACTTAGTAACTCAGAAGAGTAAATTAGGCAAAAACAAATTATCTTTCTATATTAAATAAGAAAAAAAAATTTACTCAAGCTCACTAGGTAGGTTATGCATTATTTTCCTGTCTCTCATGCCTTCAATAAGCCCTATGAGTATCAAATTTTCCAAGCCTCTTTCCACATTATGTGCTTTAGAAATTTCAACTATCTCTTTCTGATATTAAGTATGTCCTTTTTGTTTCCATTTTCTCTAAAATTTCAATGTCACTCACATGTTTGGTCCATGATATTCTCAGCATCCTTCAGTAGAACCATATTTCTGTTGCTTCAAGTTTCTTTTTCATATGTGACATTGTCCAATATTCACTGTCATATAGGATGATTGATATTACAGAATTCAGTACTCTTTTCTAACAAAATTTTTCTGTTTCTTAATACTTTGTTTAGTTTTTGGAAGGCATCTTTCGCTATCCCAATGTGCCCTTGGATTTCCGTGTCACACTTTCTATCCTCTGTTAAAACACTTCCAGCATATTTAAATTTTTATACTTGTTTAATTTTGGTATCTCCAATTTGTAATTTGCATGTTGTGCTGTTCCTTTTGCTAACAACCATGCATTCTCTCTTCATGCAATTGAGGTCTAGTCCTTTCTTCTGACTTTCCTTTACTACATTCTGTATGAGTTCTTGTCTCCTTTCTGTGTTTCCTATCAACACTCTGTCATCTGTATATCTTATGTTGTTAAGATTGTAGATTCCAATAATGAATCCCAAAAGGACATTTAATTCTCTCAAAATCACCTCACTGTATAAGTCGAATAAGTCTGGTGAGAAGATACATCCTTGTCTTACACACCTTTTTATTTTTGTATTTATTGAACTCATTTTCTCACTGAATAATAGTAAGATAAGATTTAGTTTTATATTAGTAGCTCAAAAGTTAAAATGGTGTGCAATTAATGAATGTTTAATTTATATTCTCAATTTTAATCTTTTAAAAAAAAAAAACAGAACTTTATTTTTAACAATGTTAAAAATGTACAAACAAAATGAATAAAAAAAAGGAAACAAAGTAGAATAAGTAGAGATTCATTTGTTTTACTTTTCCGAAATATTTTTGACTAATCCTTATATTGTTATATTTTCATACAAATATTTTTCATAAATGAGAAAAGATTTCATTTCAGTTAACGCAGAAGATTTTAGATTTAAAATAAAAGTGAAAATTTGACTAATCCACATTATTTTATTGAAAGAAATTCAATAATTCACACTGTTATATTCCAATCAAATCTGATGATTCTTCCACTTTGACTAAAAAATAATTTAGCCTTTTGTTCATTGTAGCAGTTTTACAAGAACCTGTTCACAATCATGGCCAACAATTCTCTTTGCAACCTTGAAATGCCAAATAAATACCATTGAAATGATTTGTGAAGAAAACTTAGCAAATATTTCTTCTCTTCATCTTTTACGTTATAATTTTAGAATACTAGAAAAATTTTTGTACTCAGTATTTCTTTTGAATGAACTTTTTTAAAAATACACAATAACCATAATGAATGTGATCATTTTATTGGCCATATGTAGTTTTATGAGAAAAATCAATGTAAAAAATGTAAATGCTTTCCTAGAATTTAAAATCGTTTATCAGTTTATTTTTCAATTTAATACAGGATTTTTAAAGTTGTTCTGCACGACTAAAGCATAATTACTAACATAAAATCAGGAAAACAACATATTCTGCACTAAGTGAAATATACCTCTTTTTATCTTTAGTCACTGATAGAGAGAACAAGTGGTAAATGGCAATTTCATGTCTTAAGCTATCATCAGATTGATGTTCGCTCGAGATATGAAACCGACAGTCACCATGCAGTATTGATTCCTATGACCACAATATTTCTACAAAAGCTCTATCTCCGATATTGAGCACCTTTTTTTTCCATTCATAAGTATAGCAAATTTTAAAAACAAACACGCACACATACATACGACTACAAGTGATCCCTTTTTTTAGTGAATAATAAATTAGCTTCACAAAGTTGCAAGGTTAACAAATTTCTAGCTTAAATTGAGTGATTCAAGAAAAACAATTATTTTTTTTTTTTTAAATAAATACATTTTTCTTGTCTGCCTTATACTCAACAAAAATAAATAAAAGTCGAAATCTCGCAATTTTGCGTCTGGTGTTTTCATTTCGACCTTAAATAAGTTATGGAAAAATGTTAGTATTTTTTGCTATTGATATTTGAAGATGAAAGACAACTATTCTTGTGTAAATTTAATTTTAACAATAAACACTGACGTTTTCCCTGTCAGCACCTTGTTTATTAATTGGGGGGGTCGATTTAAAAATGGGTACCAATTTTAGTTAAAAATAAAAATGTTCTGTGGTCAAAAGAAAATATTTTATTTTTATTGGCGATAATAAAATCTTGAATTACAGTTTTATCAAGAAAGACTTTGAATTCATACACAACACAAAGGTTAAGAACTGGTGACAAAAATTATAATTAAAATTACTATCTCTCTCTCTCTCAATTCCATCTGTTGTTATTCTACTGAAAGATTGCAAAACGGATTTATTCATATTTCAGATTGTGTTGTAACCGTTTAGAAAGATTTTAAAAAATGATTATTTATTGACAAGAGTTTATGAAGAAAGATATCGAATGAATAAGGCTGTAAAAGTCACGACATTAATTTCAAATAATTTTAACTTACAGTAAATTTGAAACCAGACAGAAGGATTATCGAAACTATCGAACAGATTTTTAAATAATGATTCGAAAAATGAAGATATTTGTTAATAATGGAGAACAAACATTTAACAAGGACAACCTTTTTACGTTGGTGACAGGGAAAAAAGAAATAAACTACTAAACTTAAGTTAAGTCTAAGTGTTACTTAGCGATTTTTATTTTCATTGCATCTTTTGCTTTTCTGTCATTTATAACATTTAAATGTTTTAAATGAAAAATTCCATGAAAACTATTATAAATGGTGAAATGAAAAAAATTTAAAAGAAAAAAAAAAAACGTTTTAAAGCGAAATTGCTTAATGACATTTTTTGAAAGTGATGGTGACAGTATGAAAAACTTGCTTAATTAAAGGCTATAAAAATAAAAACCGAAAGTTAATTAGGAAATTAAAAAATGTAATGTGTTAAACAAAAAAATAAACTAAAAAGGCAAAAAATAATTATGACAATGAAGAAGGAAAACTTGTCACAAGATTAAATGACGTTTTTTCGTTTTAGTGTTAAATTATAAATTGCAAACATACTATTTTTGTGGTTAATTAATAATTTTGTTGTACATTTGTTAATCAGTGACATTATCCAGAAAGAATTTTTAAATGAAGACATTTCTTTTAAATCACCTGTCCACGTTTTTTAGTTATTTTTTTGTTTTTTACTCAGAGTAAATAAAAGCAATTTAATGAAAAATATGACAAAAATAAAATTGAAAAGGGCCATTGTCAATTATATACAAAGGAAAGTAACAATTTCAAGAAGAAGGAAAAGTTAAAAAAATAAATACGTAATTGATTTCAGATTTTTCTTTAACCAAAATAGAAAGCCGAGTTTCACTCAAAAAACTGCGATAGTTATTTTTAAGTATGGATCATTAACAGCACAGTATTTTAGTAAATAAATAAAGTTTAACTAATTACTAAACATAAATTAGTCATGCAAAAGACAGAATACCTAATTCGTAAATGAGTTTCATTTTTTTATTTTTATTTTTTTCTCTCAAAAGAAAGATATGAAAATCATATTGTATCATCAGGTGGTTCGAAAGTGTAACGTAAAACTATTTTGGTCATCCGTAAAACAAAAATGAAATCAAATTGACGAAGAACAGATTCGTTGATATCGGCAGTTTAAGTTTAACAATTGTTTCTAAATGTATCTGCTTCGGTGATTTGCATTGTTTGAGATTTGTTCGTTTGTTTTAAATTGTCAGTTACGGTAACAAAAGATTAATCAGTAAAATTATTTAAACAATGAAGCCTCTCTCTGTATAACGTTTAACGTAAAAAGCGCTTCAATGAAATCGGATAGTACATGTTTTGTAGGTGTAAGTGTAGTAAAAAAATGTGAAGTAAAAGTAATAAATTCGATCAGGAAAAGGGATCATGACAAAAATTAGAAGTCAGTACAAATTGGGGTATGAAAACAAATATTTATATTATTTCAAACAAGATGAAAACAAAACAAAAAAAAAAAAAGTCAAGGAGACAAAATTAACTTAAAAGTATGACATACCTGATTGCGTCTGTCCGATGCCATTTTTATTATTTAAAGTGTCGTTCCTCTGTTACTGTTTTTGTCCTTTATCGAAATCAGCAGTGGGAAGATACAAAAAACATAGACAAACTCTTGAAAGAAAAAAAAATAAACAAACCGACAACAATGTCGATCAACTCTTACTTAAAACTACTTCCTATCAGCGACTGTTTTTATGCCGATAACTTGTGATTTTAGAGTTAGACAAATAGCAGTAGTAATACAGACAGACACTTGTAAATGTAGTAGTCGCCTGTCTTCCAATGGCAAAAGTAAACGTGCGCGCGCACAGCGCAATGGGTGTGTATATACCCATTAGATTTAAAAGGCTGTAATCTATGGCACATGGCCAAAACAAGGGTACGCTACGCAATGGTCATACATTTATAATCCTATCATATACTAGCCTTACTCATATGATCATTCTATAATAAAAATGAAAAAAAAGTTCATTCCATTCACCAAAATATCCAATTTTCTCAATGAAAATTGAAAATCTATCTACCACTCATGAAGATGATACTAAGTTTGGGATATTGGAAAAATGTATTATTTTTTTTAATTCCCCCATAAACAATTACACAAAAAGTACAAAATTTAATATATGGCTCACCCCTCTTTAAAAACAGACTATCATCCACTGTTTATTAGAGAAGTGTTTTTTTTTGTTTTTTTTAACAGAAAGTCAAATAGAAAATGAAAATCAATAAGGTAATTTAAAATAAGGACTTTATTTAAATGAAAGTATTGTCTATAATTTAAATAAAGATTTTAATATTTATTTAAGACAAGTGTCTTATGCACTTACTAATGTTTCTGTTATCACAGAGATTCCAAATGAAACTTCACTGAATAACACATAACTTCTTGAAAATACAGCTAAATTTTCATCCACCTTTTACAGTTTGTTTGTTCATTAATATTCCTTGAATTTAATTCTTACTTTAACCTGATGTAATAATCAACAAGAAGCACAGTGAAGTAATGGTTAACTGAGGAATCAAAGTGTTTGAATTACAGTCAAGTTCATTACATTCATTTACATGCCAATACTCTTGAGGAAGGTATGAATCTATCTCTTCCCATGCACACACAATTATGGGTAAAAAGCAGGACAGACCTGGGTCCTATAGCCTCCAGTGTCAACTGGTCTAGGAAAAACCAGCCTGGAGGGGGTTGGGCTCTGTCAGGCTATCTTGCCCAGGAAATACTACTGCTACAACCCTAGAGAGTTACAGGTTAAAAAAAAATAAACAACTTTTAATAACTTTAGTTAATTTTAATAGTCAACTCACAGGAAGAGAAAGAATAATCCTGAAAAGATCATCTTTCATGTATCCTGCACCAATCTACCATACCCAGCATTTATAAGAAATTTGTTTCATCCCAATTTACAGATATGATGCATTCTTACATATCTGTGTAACATCCAGGATCAGATAACTATCAAGCCCAATGTTACTTTAGTGTGAAATTATAGTAAAAGACATAATCAACTATTTCTTCCAACCCCTTGCTTTGAAACACTCCTAGCGGGTCAGCAACACATTCTGAACTAATTGCTTAGTGAGCAAACACTTATCATTGCTAAAGATAATCTCACCTTGGTGCCCAAAGACTATATCAAACATATTTCCATTGACAAGTCAAGACTTTTGTCAAAAAGATCCCAAGCAATCAAGTCTTCTAAAACACAATATAAAATAGTCTTAGATCAATAAAAGTTACTAAACTATAAAAAAAAATATGAAGGTTCTATCAATACTCAAAAAAGAAAAGACCTTTTTTTTTTTGAGTAATGATGGGGTTAGAAGTTAAGATCTACATTGAGACAAGGAAAGACTACTCTAATACATTCTCTAAAATGTTCATTCTATTTTGGTCATTAAATGCATTAAGAGTGCTTAGTCTTAACTAACTACATTTAAAAAGATTACTTTAATTTCTATTTTGACAGTTGTTATTGTGAAGATGTGTTTTTTTAAATGGTTTTGTCAAAATTCTCTTATTAAAGATAGAAAAAATAAACAACATTTTTAGCATATATCTTTTTATTTTAACAAAAATAAAACTCTAACTCAAATATAAAAATTGTTTGAGCAGTTTATGGAGAAAGTACTGTGAATGATCAAATATTTCAAATGTAATTCAAAATTGTTGTGAATTTTTTTAAAATTCAATATCCCAACGCATCTTTCTTGATTTCTATAATTTTTCAAGTTTTCAAAAGATGGATATATTGATCTCTTTGTATTTACAAGGTGCGATGGGTAAATTGTCGCCATTTTATATTTTTAATTTCACTCAGGTGTGTTGTTTGTTTTTGGTTTTGTCAACTGCACAGTATAGTATGGTCAGTTGGGCACCGTCTGCGAGAAAAAGAGCACCATAACGCAACTCACTCTGCCAGAAAGTTAGAAATGGCATACTGTACTGCTTGACATTTGTGCTGGAAGCTCCAATATGAACATTTCAGAGTGTTTGGGTGTGAATCTGAGAATGGTGCAGAGGATTCAGAGAGAGCTGGATGAGTCTAATGCTGATTACGTAGGTATGGCAGTTCAGAAAACTTGTAGTGATAGAAAAATAAAAAGATCACTAATTCAAAAATAAAAAATAGAAAGCTAAAAGAAATAAAAACAAAAAGATAAGAAAAAAATAAATAAATAAAAGAAGCCAAAAGGTTATCTTTCCGAAATGTAAGTGAAGAAAAAGAGATTGTCAAATGATTTATTTCTGGAACCAATCAAATTTAAGAACAATTTGTGGTGGGGATGGGGAATGAATTCTATTGTCTTTAAAAAGCAGGCAAATGGACCAGACCAGTCACTGAAAAGAATTTAATCCACTGTCCCTTACCCTAAAGCTTCAGACACCTAAACATCCCACAGAGAGAGTTGAAAGAATTGTTGCTATCAAGAAATATCTACATCCCTACATACACATTAAGAAAGACTCTCTGCACACTCACTCTCTCTCTCTCTCTCTCTCTCTATATATATATATATATATATATATATATATATATGCATGCTAAGGACTTAAAGACTTTCAACACAAGAACTTTCAGATAGGAATTCTTTGAATATTATTGTGTTTTATTTTGAGAGATATCAATTTTTATCAGTACATGCAATATATATCTTCGTATTAATTATCTTTGCATGCATTTTTAAAAGGCCATAAATTGGTATATATTTGGATAAAGGACATTATCCGAAGATAACCATCTGTAAACAAGTAAACTTCTATTTTGGTGATTTTCACATCTTCATACTAATTCCTTGCAATACTCACTCTGATAAGAAAAGAACTCTCAGACTTGTTGATGAGAACCTCAGACTCAACATGGAGGCCTACATCAAGTGCCTTGAGGAGGTAGTGCTGCCCTGGGTTAAGAGGGTGGCTGCTGAAAGACCCTACACTAGGCAGGAGGACTTTGCACCATAACACACATGTGTGTATATATATATATATATATATATATATATATATATATTCATAAGACAACATTTACAATTTATAAATTTTCCAGCTACACACACACACACATATATATATATTAATGTTGAAAATGAGAGTGGCTGCTAGAAGAACCTATGTCTGGCAACTGGACTCTGCACTATGCCACACAAGCAGGAGAACCCAGTGATGGCTGTCAGACAATTTCTGCAAACACATCACCCCTTACATCTGGCAGCCTAACTCCCCAGACTGCAACCCCCTTATAACATAAAAGATAAACTGAAGGCAAGGATTATGGCAGCATTCACCAACTTAAACAAGGAGACCGTCCAGAAGAGTTCCAGAGTTCCAGGAGATTCTGAAGTCATCTGGAGACCGTGGTAGAAGCCAATGGTGATTTTATCTAATAGATTTACTCTTTAGTATTTTAAGATATTTTTGTGTATATTTTGGTATGCAGTAATTAATTCAGCCATAAGGAAAACAAGAATAAAACTACTTAACCATTAACTACTTACCAATGAAGAAATACAAACATGAGTGCTTAGAAAATCAGCATTTGAAATCATGATGTTTTGAACACTGGTTTTTTGTGGGAAATATATAACTATTTCAATACACCATTAAATTATTTAATTTAACATCCAAAATTTAATCGATTTTGAAAGGTAAAAATGTACATACTTGCAATAGGGACTATGATTTTTAAATATTTTTAATACATTTTGAATATATATATATATACATATATATATATATATATATATATATATATATATATACACACATATATATATATATATATATATATATATATATATATATATATATATATATATATTATATATATATATCTCAGTTGAAATGTTTTGAATTTACAGAAACACAGACAACTTAACTCCCTGAAGATGGTCTCAGATGACATTGAAAGTACTTGGGAAAATAAAAACTATTTGAAATAAAATTTTGGTATTTTTCTTAATCAATTTTCTCAGGCTGCCAAGAAATTAATCTGTGAACTTGAAAGGATCACACCAAAAACTAATCGACATGATATGTCTAAATTATTTAACCAAACCTGTTTGAATGAAAATATGCTGTCTAAATATACACAATATATATATATATAGTCATCTCTAAGAATTCATGTATTTATTTTTTTAATCAAATATACTTTTATTACATCAAATGTTATTTTTAGTGGATATCCATATTAGAGTAGACGCTTCCTTTATTTCAAACACTAAAAACAGGATGTCTACTCAAATAAGGGTATCTACTAAAAATAAAACTTGAATTAATATATATATATATATATATATATATATATATATATATATATATATACAAAATAATGGACTCTCCTGTCGGTTTTGATGTATGAGGATCTGACAGCTTATTGATTCAGTTATGAAAGTTTGTGCGATAATCTTAAGTGGCATTTAAGACCCGCTAGTGATTTATAAAGGAGGACACATATGGAGCAAGTGTGAGGATTGTGAAATGAGATCACTGTTAGATTGGATGGCCTTTTAGAT